AATATATAATTACTTCAGAGTCCTACTAATTAAAATCAAACATATAATTGTTTAAGTCCCTATTATAAGCAAAGTTTTGCAAACTCTCAAATATGTTCGGAAAAAATTGCTACACTCAGCTGTGGCTGAGAAAACAATCAAAAGACATTCAATAGCATTTCTCAAGTGATAAGGAAATATTCAACTATGATTTATTCTAATTTAGGCCAGCATCCAATTAAACCCAAGTCTTGTGCAGTTCTTCATTTAAATATTAAAACCTATTTTTATTAGAAACTTCAAAAAGCATTCTTTTGAGTTTTCTTAAGTATTCCCAGCTGGATGCATTATCTGTACTGAATTTATCATTCAATGTAACAGTGCCAAGTGGTCCCATAGGTTTAATAAGTATTTGATTATAAGTACAGGAAAAAAATTGCAATGGAAATATCTTTATTCTGGATACCTATGTTTCTAATTTGTCTCAGTATGCTACCTTTTAGCTAGAGCAGCATTTTTATCCATAACAGAGACCAGGCTGAAAATAGCAGGACTTGTCAGCACCAATGGGACAAAGGTGTGTTGGAATTTTACCTTTTCCCCCCTTTCCCAGACTATATCCTAATGTAAGCGGAGAAGCTACCGAGAGATTGTGCCCACAGATGACTCCTAATAAACAGGCAGACTATGTTCAAATGGTTCCAGATGGGTTGTTAAGCCATGGAGTAAAGTTTTTAAGATAATTTGGAAGGGAGAGAGGCTATAAAAGGAATGAGGAAGGGATTCTTTTGCAGCTTATGTTTGGAAAAGGAGAGATAATGTAGTCAAATAGGACATATGTTTAATAAATTGCTGTCTTGCCAAAGTGACTGGGCACCCTAGGAGGTAATCCTCTTTGAATTAGACTAGAAAAACATTTGACCAGCTGTTATCACTTAAATAAATTTTTATTAAAAAATATGCAGAGGAAAACATTGTTAGCCCAACAACGACCTTCAATTCTATCTTCTCTACTCCTGGGTTTGTTTCTCTTTCTCTCTTTTTTTTTTTCTTTTCTTTTTTTTGGCTAGCAGTGGCCCCCAACTGCTATATAAGGAGATGAAGCCTCCTTTGTTCTGCTGAGCACTTTTATGAACTTAGTTATGCAAGTTTAGGGGAGGGGAAGCAGTCAAGACTTCCTTTGAAAAAAGCAGGAAAATAATTTTGACTTTTGTGGTTGATGTGGGATAAAAGAAAGGCAGAAAAACAGAGGACTCTGTGAGTGAACATCTCCTAAAATTAACAGAAACCACGGGGCAAGCTTTAGACTCTCAAAACCATGGATTTGGCAAGGGTCTTAGAAAACAATATTTAGAAATACTTAGAAAACAATATTATTTTCTAGGGAAGCCTTTCTAAGGCTTCATTTCATATGTGAGTGACATACAAAAATAAGCAATGAAGCATAGAGGGGTCAGAATACCAAAATTGAAATATCTGACACTGAACAAGGCCAATTAGAGTTAATTATGGGGAAATGTCATTGAGTCTTTGATCTTGAAGAAATCCATGAAGCCCTTTAGCCTACTCCCTAGATGAAAAGCTGGACATCTTCAAACTATCTCAAGCAAACAACATTCCTTCATATGCTGCCTCCTGTAAGAATCCACTGCATTCTTGAGCTATTTCCCTCAGAAGACCCAGTTGAGGGCCATGTTTACTAAGGATCTACATAACTGAGGGACACCCTAGTGCTTACAGATACACCTACCATCTAAAACCAACAGAAATTGTCAGATTTAATGCATTAATCCATTTTCTCAGAAATAGTCAGGATTTTCAAATACCTTTTCTCTTTACCTAAACTATGATCTCAAATTTGGTGTCTGCTAGAATGAAGAAATATTTTATGGACATGTACTGATAGAAAAGCAACTTGTCAGAGTCATCTGCAGTTAATTGGGATAGTCACTGTCAATTAAAATGGGTCTGCTATGCTTTACTAAATCAAAACAGCTAAGAGGCTAACAAATAATTCAACACATCATTAAAATTTAGGTACAAAGACACAGTTAGATAGAATGAATAAGCTCTAGTAGTTGGTAGCACAGTAAGTTGACTATAGTTAGCAACAATTTATTATTATATATTTTAAAATAACTAAAAGAGTGTTATTAGAATGTTTCCAGAACAAAGAAATGATAAATGCTTGAAGTAATGGATACCCCAGTTACCCTAATTAGATCATTGCACCCTGTATGCTTGTGTCAGAACATCATATGTACCCCATAAATATGTACAATTATTATGTGTCCATAATAATTAAAAATAAATTTCTAAAAAATATTTAATGACTCTCAGGGTTGGAAGTGGCCTTAAAAATGAGGAGAGAAGGCCAGGTGACTAAAATGTATTGCAAACAATATAATTTCATTTAGACATCACAATTAGTTTAATTCTTTGTTTTCTCTGGGGAAGTAACTAAAATACAGGCTAAAGTAACTGAAATACAGTAACTAAAATACAGATTTTTAAAAGGAGAGAAAATAAAGGAACTAGATAATCCATGAATTCAGCATGCATCTGTTTAAAAATGCAACATTGGCCATAATATTGAAACAGCCTACTTGTTGGTTTTAAAAATTCTTATTTTTATCACATTCAGAGACATAAGTGCTACAGTATGCTTTTCATAGCTCTCAAGCCTCTCTCACTCATCAAAAACAAAAGAAACCACAATTTTTGCTTTTTGTGTATGAATAGCATTTATAAAATGTATATTATACTACCTGTTTCAATTAATAATTGGAAAGATATTTTTATTCTTTGTTTATTACTCACATATTATTAGGAATTCTTATATTCTGATTGTATGCTAATACGCGTTTTTATGGCAGTGTTTTTTTCCTGTGGCTTTGTGCAGAGCACACATCACAGAATAAAGACATTTATTGCCTATGAATAAATGAAGCTTATTGCCTATGAATATGAAGCTCCTTTGCAGCAGCTTCCATCCCAATGACACTGTTAACCTCAGTTGTCATCAAAGCACTGATATAAAACCAATGTGATTTTGGAATGTTAGTTCATCAAGGTGAAAACAGAAAAAAAAAAAATTAGCCTACTTTTCCAATGTCTCCAAGCAGATAAATGTTGGAGTTACATATGTCTGAGTTACATATGAAACATCTTTATCCATCTGGGTTTAGAGTCTAGTTAGCCTTTGGCTCCTTATCCTGGACTATTCATGGAAGAATCTTCCCAGCTAAGCCCAAGGATGGAGACTGACCCACACAGGTGCTTCCAGGAGAATCAACAGAGCACCAAAGATGGAGGCCATAAGAAAACTCAGCACTGTTCGATCTAATTCATTTAGAAAGTTATTCTTAGATTGTAATAACATAATTTAATAGAATTAATTTATTTATGCCAGAAAGTATTTGGGCTCATGTATCTTAAACTACTTAATTATGTTAATTATGGTGGATTTTATTGATGCTGATGCTGTTTCTTTTCCTGAACTGAATATATTAGTTTGATCCATTTCTAATTGTGCTCTTCTCTGCTGGAAAAGCCCTATCTGGAAGCTGGTAATTCTGTTTTCTTCTGGAGAATGCTTTCTGTTTTTCTTTTTTTTTCCAATTGGGTTGGATTTTGGCTTTGTTTATATCTGTCTTTGACTTTCTTGTTAATCCTAAGGTTTTCTGGTGTGTTAATGGCTTTGTGGCTTTTTGTCTTTAAGATACAGTCTAATTTGTGAGAAAGTCTATGAAGTAGCTACAAAAAATCAAGAAGAAAAGAAGAACCAAACTGCCTTTTTTAAAATTTTTAACAGGAGAATGAATTTACTTGTATATGAATAAATACCCTCTAAGACTGACCCAGGTGGGAGATTAATTGCTTTTTCCAGAGGTGTATCACTGTCAAGGAAAGATTCAAATTCAAGAGTTCTAATATTGTTTTAGTCCAGCAGATCATTTATAATCAACATACATTTCTTGAATCCCAGAATATTAGACACTAGAATACATAGAAGATACATCCCTTACCTTTAAGAGCATATCCTTTGGTTGAAGAGACAGAACAGCAAGGAAAACAATAGACACATAACGTATGGTAAAATGAAAAGGCCTGGGATCAGTGTCAGAAGAATGATGTTAAGTATAATCACTTTACCTTTCTACTCCTGGTTACATCTGTGAAATAAAGACATTTATATTTGCTGTATCTTCCAATGTGGGTATATTAAGGTTTAAATCAAAAGAATGTGAGATGCCCAAACAAATGAAGTTGTTGTAATTATTTAATTTAAAAACTGATAATGAAGAGTCAACATTTTACTAACTATCCTATTTTAAATGTGACAAGTACCAAAAATTCTATATTGAACTTCTTTATTCTATAAAAATTAGGATTTTGAAAATCTTCCTGTTAGCAAGAAAGATGTGATGTCAATATGACACATCTCCCAAAGATACAGACAACTCTTTGTTACTCGTAGCATCAGACCCTGAAGAAGTTCTTACACCATCAATGTTGTTTGCATGATCTTAGAAAATCCACCTGTCTGCTTAGAACAGACCTCATTTTCAGATCCAGGTGTACCTGATTAGTCTAAGGGCAATCGCTTCCTTTGTTAGTGATTGGTTCAGTAATGGGCATGTGACTCAACTCAAAACAAAGAAAAGTACAAAGATATTTTCTTGAGGATTTCTAGGGAAAGCATCCCTGCCTAACAGAAAGTTGCAAGATGGAATAGTATCTATTAAGGTCCTATTAAGATCTATTAAGCCCAAATTATTGGGCTGCTATAACAAACACCATAGACTGGTGGCTTTATAAACAACAGCAATGCATTTCTCACAGTTTTGGAGACTGGAAGCCTGAGATTAGGGTGCCAGCATGGTCAATTTCTGATGAGGGCTCTCCTCCGGCTTGCCGACTGCTGACTTCTCATTTTATCCTCACGTGGTAGGGAGCAGACAGGGGAAACATTCTCCACTGTGACTCCTTCTAAGGGCAATAATCCCATTTATGAGGCTTCCACCATTATGACCTCATCTAATCCTAGTTACCTCCCAAAGGCCTGACCTACTTAAACCATCACATTGAGGGTAAGGTTTTAACATATGCATTTTAGGGGACACAAACATTCCATCTATAACTAATAGTCTTCCTTGTCCTTCTGGATTTTGTCATGTCTAGAAACTACTGTGGCCATGTTACTACCTATGCTTGAAGCTAACACTAAGAATTGCAGATCACAGATGGAAAGAATCTGGATCTCAACCACATCACTGAACGGTGGACTCAGCCACACCCCTGGTAACCAATGCCTACTGCAGGTCTTACTGTTATATGAGAAAATTAATTTCCTTAGTGTTTGAGCCAGTTTGAGATAGGATATCTGTCACTTTTAGATGAAAACACTCTGACTAATATAACATACATGTCATGATAACATTTATTTAGTTCTTATTATGAACATGGCCCCATGCTAAGCACTTCATAGAAGTGACTTCATTTTATCATCAAAGCATTATCATTCAGAGATGAAGAAACTAAGGTCCAAAAGATTAAGTGACTTGTCCAAAATCACACAGAGCCAGGTTTGGAAGCCAGGCAGTCTGCCTCCTCCAGGACCTATAATGTTTTTTTTAAAAAACAAGACATTATCTTCTAGTATACTTGAATAATCTCTTATTAGAACTATGCAGAAAGATACTCCTCTTTTAAAACAAACTTGATTAGTTAAACATATAAGTAGAATATTGCATTATTTTCCAATTTTCTACTCATTTCATAAGTATCACTAGCCAAAAGTTTGTTTAGAGACCCTACTTCTCTCAGACCCTCATGAACTTCCCCAAAGATGAGAAAAATTATGAAACTAATTTTGTAGAGAAGCCAATAGGATGTGTAATTTTTAATAAATAAGCTAAAGTTTATATTCGCAATTTAAACAATGGAAGTATAAACACTTCCATAATAGCACAGAACACCTGGAGCTCCTCACAAGAAAGCAGGAGTCTTGTACATATTTTGTGTAAAGGACACAGAAAAAATCAAACAATACATTAATTTTTCCTCTTGAAAGGGCTACTGTTCTGACTCAACTGGGTTGATGATCAAGTTGTTGTCTGGAATCAGGACTGAATAGGCTTGAATGGGAACAATAGAGGCTGTGACCACTCCTCAGAGCCAGAGGGACAGCCAGGCCAAAAACTACTGGGAAAAAATGAGATTCAAAGGCACAAAAGACAGAAGCAAAGTATCAGATCCAAGGGTAAAAGGCAGGAACTAATGCAAAGGCCAAAAAGCCACATGATCTTGAAGGCAATATTCGGGTGGAGCAGAGCCAACCCATCGGCGTATGAGTTTCTAGAAGAACTGTCTCAAATACTTCTGAGTATTCATGATCTCCCGCAGGGTCCAGCAGGTGGATGATGGCTGGAAAGGTGACAGCAGCTTCCAAGACTGAGGCTGGGCAGACCACCAAGGATCACAAAATAAAAGCCAAGATTTAAATGCTTAAATTTGAATAACTAGAATGGCAAGAAGCAGAGCATTCATTGCCATGGTGAAAATCTGAAAGCAGACTCTTTCTCTTGGTGCAGCAAAGGGTCTCTAATAAGAAATAACATGAGAAAAACACAGGTGTTGTGGTAGTTACAAAGGTTGAAAATTCTCAAGTACACTTGAGAATGTTAAAGTTCTAATAATGTTCAATTGTTGAGAAAGAATAGGGATCAAATGTCTTTTATATAATCCTTCCATCAAAAGACATCAAGATTAACTGAAATTCAAATCTGAATTGCAGAACAATTTGCAGAAGGTAACACTGCACAACTACTACAGAGCAAGTTAAGTCAATCTGCAAAGAAGAAATGAACTATAGCCTGCTGAGGAGTATGTGATGTACTGCAGACCACACCAATCTGTGCTTGTGAGTGACTGTCAATATACAAACCTGAAATAATTTTAATGATAGGAATAAACATTAAATATTTACTGGTTGGTGTACCACTGGATCAATGGGCGCATCTCCCTCCCCTGAGTACACATGATAATAAATGAATAGGCTGGAGCTTCCAGCAGCAAGAAAAGGGTTGCCTTGAAATTGGAAATCAATGATACCGCCATGGTTACATCAATAGGTTAAGCGATAAATGGAGGCTGCTGTCACTTAAAAAAAAAAAAAACTGTAATAACAAGAAAAAAACAAGCTAAAGGGAAATTTTTCTTATGTTTGCTTTATTTATCTTCTAATTTACAAAATGAATTTTAACAGAAGTCCTGGGCCATGTGTACTTTTTAAAAGAACATATTGTTCCAAACTAACTAACAATGTCTCCTAATATTAAATCCAGTTCCTGTCAATCTGTCCCTAAAATTATTTTAGATTTAGATTTTCAGTTTGTGTCTAGTGCTAAGAAAAAGTATGATGACTAAACTTTTTGAGAAGGAATGGGAGATGGAGTTACAATAAATAGTGTCATGGGAACGTGTAAAAGAAAAAAACTGTGATTTTTTAAAAATTTCTATTTTATTCTATTAAATCCCATGCCTTATAAAGATAGGCTGAACCCAAAGAGGTCGCAAATCATGGAAAATTCTGGCATTAATGTCTCTTAGAAATAAACATATCGAGCTTTAAGATTTCACTAGAGTCTTACAGCCTTATTTAAGGAAATGGTTGATAGTAAGAGATGCACTAAAATACTGAGTTGGTCCATTTACACATACCTTCAATAGAACCAATGAGGTCACCTCTGCCTTCCAGCAACATGATTATAACACCTCCATGGATTTCAATCATTTCATCCTAATCAAGTGGCTGTGTGACAAAACCTAATTTAAGAAATACCTGAAAGAACAGTCTGGCACTTCAGTCAGAAACTTTGTCCCTGACTAGTGTATTCCTCCTAGCCTGAATCAAAGAGCTGGTCCAAGTCCACTCTAAGGATGAGACAACAATAACAGATGATACCAAGGGCGCATTTTGGTAAATATGTCTCCTCTTTGAGAAGAGAATTGGCACTAATTAAAAGGAAATACAAGTTACAACTTGATACAAGCAGGGAGCCCTAGAAAGTAGAGGACATTTCAGAGGCCTAAAAATACTTTGTTTCTTCAGTTGCTATTTTGAAAATTGCTATACCCTGGATGATAATAGTCAGTAGAATTCAGAATATCTGAGCGGAACAAAAAGCCTTGTTAGCTCTTTTCTTTATCATACAATCTATTTTTTTTTCCTTTTGACACATTCTATCTCCATGCAACATTTTTCAAAAAGGTCTCTGAAAATTTAGATTATTTTTCTATAGAATCAATCTTTTCATGAAAATTCCAAAGCCTGTAAAGTATTATTTATTAATGTTATAAAGGCACACAAATGTCAATTTGGAATTGGTTCAAAATGTCTTCATTGTTAATCGTTTAAGTTACAAATAGTTGTATTAGTGTGGATTGGTTTTCCTTTCTTTCCCTTTCTCTGTTCTTCCTGTCTATACAGACTCTGTGAACCCTCTGGGGAAAAGGCCCAGTCAGTGTGATGTTTTCTGCAGTTTCTTGTCTCAAGCCTTGTTAAAAATGTGCATGCCAATATTCCACCTTTTATAAAAATAGTAATTTTATTCAATAAACACTCAACATTCATTGAGCCTCACTATGTGTTTCTACTACTATGCTAGGAGATGAAGAGAGACAACAGTAATCTGGCAGAAAATTATACAATCCGTGGTGTTTTTTAATTCTGTACACTTCAAATGTGAAAACATGCATGCAGAATGATGGGAGTAGAGGATGTTTCAGTTTCCAAAACTCTTCTTGGTGCAAGCATTGCACATTTTTGGAAAATAAGATTTGCGATAACCTAGTAGATTTGAGGACAAACTCAAGAAAAAGATTTTTATTTAATTTTTTTTTGGGGGGGTGTGGGGGAAAGGTCTCACTCTGTCTCCTGGGCAAAGTGCAGTGGTATCATTGTAGCTCACTGCAACCCCAAACTCCTTGGGTCAAGTGATCCTCCTGGTTCAGCCTCCCCAAGTAGTCTGAACTATAGGTCCTTGCCACCATGCCCACTAATTTTTTCTGTATTTTTATTTTATTTTATTTTTTTGTACAGACAGGGTCTAGCTATGTTGCCCAGACTAGTCTTGAATTCCTGGCCTCAAGTGATCCTCCCACATCGTCCTCCCAAAGTGCTAGAATTACAGTCATGAGCGCCACACCTGGTCTAAAGCATTTTCTAAGGATCAGAGGCCCCAGATCCTATTACAGACAAGCAAGCAAGCCGGGGTAACAGTTATGTCATATTGCATAATGAAGGGAAAAGGAACTTCAAGACAACTGTCAAGACTCAGAAGAAGAAAGAGGAACCAGAGAAGAGGGAGCAAGGGGAGCAAGCACTAATATCTTGTATGATATTTTTTTCAAAATGCTCTGTTTCATAATGCAGAATTCCCACTGTTTCATAATTCTCATCCATGCTCCACCACATATTAAGGAAATACTAAAAAAAAAAAAAAAAAAATACACACACAAAAGCCTTACTGTTTATTGGATTTCTTGACAAAACCATTTAACACACAAGTTCCAAATCTGGCTGATGCTAAATTATAAGGGTGTGACAGAGAGGGCGGCTGCTGATCTGTCCTGCTTATAGATTTTGTATATGTAACTAAAAAATCTATAAGCAGGACAGATCAGCAGCCGCCCTCTCTGTCACACCCTTATAAAACAGATCTAGGTTTTGTGGGGCCTAACGCTAACACAATTTGAGGGGTTATGATTAATAAAAATTTCACAAAAATCTAAAGTTAACCACAGGGGCTTGGAAAAGACCCATGCATGTGAGGGATATAGAAACTTAAGCTTCATTAGCATCAAAGTAAATGCATCTTTGACTATAAGTCAGTAAAATTGTGGGGGCTTTTCCTAAAAGAAATACAAATATTTTGCAAGACTATTCTTCTCATAAGAAAAGAAGCTCAGAACTCTGGATAGAGAGAAGGGATGGGAATATTAAAAATAAAGTTATTTATAAAGTCAATGTTTATCATTAATTATCTAAATCATTTCCTATATGCTCATCATTGACACATCCTTTTAATTAAATGCATATCTGTTATAGAAACCATCTCATTATGTTACTATAATCAGATAGGAACAATTTATGTCATTACATTCAAATACATGGTAATTCCCAGTGTCGAGGTAAGTATATATAGAATGTTGATTACACCGGTTTCCAGTTACTCTTATTAAGATTTGCCAAGAATCTGCATGAATTATAGTGCACATTATTATAATTATGGGAGAAAATAGACAAAAAGTAAATAGGTCTTGGTGTTTTTTTTAATTCAACTAACAATAAAGGGTACATGTCTGAGAAAGAAGAGAGAGATGTCATAGCTGTCAGTACGCTCTTACCATCAGACTTTCCTAATCTGTGCTTTTCCATCAGCTCAGTGTCTTCCCTTCCAGAATTTTCCACTAAGAATCCATACAAAAACATCAGAAAAATTGCATAAAAAATATATCTAAGAAGCAGATTCTTACTCTTAGCGTGGTCTTCCTATCTGATTCATGTTATCTTTGTGTTAGGTGGTAAGGTTCAAGGGCAGCAGAAAATAAATCTCCATCTGGTGGTTCTGCTTTGCCCAAGTACCATGGATGCTGGCCCAGCCTCCTGTTCCCCTCCCCTGGTAACAGCCTCAGCTTTTCCTTTGGAAGACCATACCTCTTCCCATTCCTCTGGTCGCATGGGGCTGTCTCTAGGGCCCTGAAGAGCGGTCATGTGACACAGGCCAGCCCAGTTGGACTTTCTTTCCTGGGAAACAGCATCTGTCTAGAGCAGGATGAAAAACAGATGGTAGCCATTGGGGATGAGTGTTTCCAATGGCACTGCCCAGAAAAGACATAGTCAGTTCCCTGGAGCTGTCCTCCTGAGGCATGGTGATTCAGCAATTCCTTGGAATCTGTCAGCTATCCAGCATCCCACCTACTAAGTCTTCCTGTGATGAACTGAAGTCTTCATATGCTTAAGTTAAAAAGAGTTGGTCTCTGTTGCTAGCAACAAATGTGCCTGAACATGGGGACAGAAGGTAGTATCATATATATCACTAAGTTAATAGGGTCTCACTTTTAATTTTCCAGTCCTATTCATTTCTCTCTATAACCTTGGACCTACATTTTAAGGAAATCTGAAAGCAATTTAAGAATAAAAATCCCCTCCCCCTAAGAAAAACCTTCCATGCAAAAATTTTAAAACATTTAGTTCCTTTCATACTTCACCAAATCTGCTATACCATGTCTAAGAATACAAGCAAGATGCAATATGAAAATAGTAGTGTCTCAGATAGAAATTCCCAAAAGGAAATTCTTTTTCTCAAATGCTTATAAGGAAGTCAGATGAATTTGGGGTTAAAAAAATTATTTCTTATGGTTTCAGATTCACATCCCCTCTTTAAGATCTAATTTAAAAGTTTACATTCACTCTTAGGGGACATTTAGTTCAGAATACTAGCTAAAAATTAGCTAACTAATTCTTAAATTAATTAAAAATATTTTTGACTGGTTTATCTTTGTGTGTGTTTATATAATTCAAAAAAGATTAATTTTGACAAATTAAAATTGACAAGCTAGTTACCTCTAATAGCAGCCTATTTGCTTTATCTACCTAAACAACAAAAACAAGTAGATATGGAGAATTTCTGGCATTTTCCAAGCTTAGCATTTCCCTAATGTTTTCACTAATCACCAGCCTAAGAGGTTTCCACAGGACACTCAAATATGTGCAGAGAAAGCGAGCCCCCTGTGTAATCACTCAGAAGAGATCCCTACTTGCCTTTTTATAACAGATCATGCTGGAAAGCCTGGGCCTTCCCTGCCCAAGACAGGACTTAAATTCAGCAACTGCAGAGCCATTTGCTGTAATATCTTCAGTGTAAATTTTCCAGAGTTGGGCAAAATATATT